CATTTGAAGTGAATCTGTGCGGCCCGAGGAAGGCCTTCGCAAAAAATTGTGGGTTCATTTATTTTGGGCCTCGTATTATTACAGCTGTCACACGGGCCTGCATTGAGCCTGTTATGATATGTCATCCCACGTCATCAATAGAAATTATCTCTCACATTTCGCTGTTTGATGGTGTCACCCGGAGCAGTCTGCTCCCCCCCCCTCATTTCGCCCCTGTTGATGACTCTCCAGTAGTTTAGTTTCTTCATCGTTCGTCTTTCAACCAAATATTTGTGTTTAACACTGAGGTCCAGTCTCTCGTGACGATGATTAGTTACTGATGGTCAAATAAAATTGCGCCTTGCGTCTTTGGCGCCCAAAATGTCGCACACCCTTGTATGAAGTGCCCCCTGGGGTTGGTGGACCCTCCCTCCTACGCCTCTGACAACTGAGAAATCTCTGCAGATCCATTTTCAGTCAGATCCACGAAGTTAGAATAAAGCAGAGAAGCGAGTGTATTTATAGACTGTGGATAATGACATAAGGATTTCTTAAATATTTCAATTTTATTTAATATATTAAAGAAAAATTAAATATGTTCAATTTTACTAATCTAAAATCAATAAGGCAAATTAACTCTTGAACCCTTATCAAATTTAAATTCCATTTAAAAAAAAAAGACAAAGAAGTAAAAACTCTGTACCAATGACAAAGCACAATCCGTCACGACAAAGCACAATCCGTCACGACAAAGCACAATCCGTCACGTAAAAAAATTGTATCGCTTGTCCAGCCTTTGCGCAGAGATCCGAAATTTGCAGAAGACGACCTGTTATACTTACCCTTGGCCATTACTGATTAGCGTTTTGTTCCTGGGTCGAGATGGCCGGGGGGGGGGAGGGGGGGGAGTGGTGGATTCCTTTCTGCAAACATTTTTTTTTTTGGTTAACCTTTTCTACAGGTCAACGGCGATTTTTGGTTCCCTAATTACGGGTCTTGTCCCTGGACACCCAACACTAATATCCGCCCCTCCCCCCCCCTCCCACTGGGGGGGGGGGGGGGGGGGGGGGGGGGGGGGGGGGGAGTGGTGGATTCCTTTCTGCAAACATTTTTTTTTTTGGTTAACCTTTTCTACAGGTCAACGGCGATTTTTGGTGACCTAATTACGGGTCTTGTCCCTGGATACCCAAGACTAATATCCGCCCCGCCCCCCCCTGCCCACGCTGTCGATTCTAACTACCCAGGGTGCTTATCATTACAACCCCCCGACGTAAATAGCTCCCTGGTAATCTATTATGGATGGATTTGTCCATGTGAGAAATTTCGATTAGAGGAAGCCATGCTTGGTGGTTCCTGGGATATCATCTCTGGCCTTTCTTGTGTACATGAGACCGGACCAAGATGGGGTAATATCTGGTCTTTCTTGTGTACATGAGACCATACCAAGATGGGGTAATATCTGGCATTTCTTGTGTACATGAGACCGTACCGAAATGGGGTAATTTATGGACTTTCTTGTGTATAAGAGACCGGAAGAAGATTGGGTAATATCTGACCTTTCTTTTGTATATGAGACCGTACAAAGATGGGGTAATATCTGGCCTTACTTGTGTGCATGAGACCGGACCAAGATAAGATAATATCTGGTCTTTCTTGTGTACATGAGACCATACCAAGATGGGGTAATATCTGGCCTTTCTTGTGTACATGAGACCGTACCAAAATGGGGTAATTTCTGGCCTTTCGTGTGTATAAGAAATCGGACCAAGATTGGATAATATCTTGCCTCTCTTTTGTATATAAGACCGTACCAAGTAGGGGTAATATTTAACCTTTCTGTGTTCATGTGGCTGGACCAAGCTGTGGTCATATTTGACCTTTCTTGTGTACATTAGACCGAACCAAGATGGGTTCATATGCGCGCGTTTTTTTTTGTGTACACCAGTTAGTGCCAATAATCTATGGTCATTTTGTGTACACCAATTAGACCGTATCATGACGGTGTAATCTTTTTCTTTCGAGACCAGACTGAAATAAGACTGAATTTGAGTAATTGAGATTACTGTAATATTATAAATGCTGTGCGCCTTTAAAAACAATAGTTTTTTTTATAAGTTTGATGTATTTGAAATAGAACTAAAATCCTTTAAGGCTTACAGTAAAGTAACGCACTGGTGGTTTAAGTTTGAATATATCTTATATTGAACATTTTGTATAATGGAATGGGGTTGACCTTTGAACTTTGTAGTGCTATACCATCAAGTCAGTAGATTCCGTGTTTAAGAATCCAGTACCCGGTCAGATGTAACGAATTATTTCCTACAGTTGTATAGTTGTTACGAAAGCCTGAGTTTGTGAGAGATAGGTTATAGGACTTTTTAAGTCTCTGAGTAATCCTCTTATTCAAAGGAGTGTTGCGCTCCCTCTCTCTCTCTCTCTCTCTCTCTCTCTTTCTCTCTCTCTCACTCTCTCTCTCTTCCTCTCTCTCTCTCCTTTCTCTCTTTCTCTCTTTCTCTCTTTCTCTCTTTCTCTCTTTCTCTCTATTTTATCTTGCTCTTTCTCTCTCTCTTTCTCTTTCTCTCTCTCTCTATCTCTCTCTATATTTGTCTATTTCTCTCCCCCTTCTTCTCCTTCTTTTTTCTCTCTTTTACGCTATTTCTCCTTATCTCTCCCTGTCTTTCTCTATCTGTCGCTATTATCATCTCTCTCCCCCTCTCTTTAAATTCCTATTTCTCTCTTTTTCTATCTTTTTATGTCTCCATATCTCTCCCTTTCTCTTTATAACCCTCTGTCTTTCTCTTACGTCTTTCTCTTACGTTTTTCTTTATGTCTCTTCTTTCTCTCTCTCTTTCTTTCTTTCACTCTGTCTCGTTCTCTCTCTCCTTCTCGCTCTGTCTCTCCCTGTCAATTTCTCTCTCTACCCCCCCTCTCTCTGCCTTTCTCTCTCTGCCTTTCTCTCTCTCTCTCTCTCTCTCTCTCTCTCTCTCTCTAGACTCCGACAGCAGACACATGAGATGTAACTTAAACAACAAAATATAAGAAGTCTCCGACATCAGAACCATGTGCCTGGAGTAAAAACAACGCCAGTGTCTGATCTAAAGACCAGAAGATGTAACAGTGATGTCTGACCTAAAGATCATAAGAAATAATAGTGATGTCTGACCTAAAGATCATAAGAAATAATAGTGATGTCTGATGTTAAGATCATAAGAAATGAAAATGATGTCTAATCTAAAGACCATAAGAAATAACAGTGATGTCTGACCTAAAGATCATAAGAAATAATTGTGATGTCTGATGTTAAGATCATAAGAAATGAAAATGATGTCTAATCTAAAGACCATACGAAATAACAGTGATGTCTGACCTAAAGATCATAAGAAATAATAGTGATGTCTGATGTTAAGATCATAAGAAATGAAAATGATGTCTAATCTAAAGACCATAAGAAATAACAGTGATGTCTGACCTAAAGATCATAAGAAATAATAGTGATGCCTCATCTAAAGATCATAAGAAATAACATGACTTGATAACAATAGTTCCATTGCATTTCAAATCTAACAACTCCGGGAAATTATCCTTGAGATTTTAAATGGTGATATCTTAAATATTAACTCCCACCCTCAAGGTCAAGGTCAGCTGCTTTATGTTGCGCATTCTTTAGATTTCTTGAATCATCCATTTGATAGCGTACCACGCGGCGCCTTGCCGCGTTATGCTGAAATAGTTCCTTTTTAAATCACGTGTTTTGAATCAGTCAGACACAATCAACAGTTTCCTATGGATTTTTGAAAAGCTCCATTTTCACTTTCTGACTAATCCTGACACAGAAAGACTTTCTGAAAGCGCCAGCTCATCAAGGGAGATGAATTAGACATTTTTGTGACCTAGTTTCAGTAAGACCAAAATGCCATGTTTTCTCTCTCTCTCCCTCTCCATCCCTCTCTCTCTCTCCCTCCCCCCGCCTCTCTCCCTCCCACTCTCTCTTCCTCAATCCCTCTCCCTCTCTCTCACTCTCTCTCTCTCTCTCCCTACATCTACATCCTTCTATCTCTCCCTCTCCCTTTCCTCCCTCCCTCTTTCTCTCCCTCCCTCTTTCTCTCCTTCTCTCTCTCTCTCTCCATCCCTCTCATCCTCTCTCTCACTCTTTCTCTCCCCCCTCTCTACCTTTCCCTCCCTCACTCCCTCTCTCTCCCTCACTCCCTCTATCTCCCCCTTCCCCTCTCTCTCCCTCTCCCTTCCTCTCTCCATCCCTCCCTTTCTCTCTCCCCACTCCCACTCTCTCTCTCCCCCTCTCTCTCTCTCACTCCCCCTCCCTCTCTCCCTCCCTCTCTCTCTCCCTACCTCTCTCCCTCTCTCTCTCTCTCTCTCTCTCCCTCCCCCCCTCTCTCCCTCTCTCTCTCTCTCTCTCTCTCCCCCCCTCTCTCTCTCTCTCTCTCTCTCCCTCCCTCCCTCTCTCTCTCCCTCCCTCTCTCTCTCTCTCCCTCCCTCCCTCCCTCTCTCTCTCTCTATCTCTCTCTCTTATCTCAGCCATATCACATAACCCGCCTGTAAGGTTGTTGTAGTTGAGTCCAGGAGGGTCCACGGTCTCTTGGTCTCTAACCACTTAAATACCATATAAATTCTTAGGTCTCTGTGCAATATTTGTACCATTTATCTTATTCCGTGTCTCTTTTCATTTTTCTGTATCCTACTCCTCCCCCACCCCAACCCACAATCACAATATCCCATAAACCATATAATAAGATTGTATATTCTTTACAACTGAGTAACATTTCAGAATTTGTATTGAACAAATTTGTAAGTATTTTAACAAGAGAATTATTTTAACTAAATAAAACTTCTATACAAAAAAATAAAAATAAAATAACGTCATTTTTGTACTCGCATTTTTCAGGTTCCGCCTCTGACAAAGATCTAACAACACAACACCAAGGGTGAATTTCTGTGACGGCATCGCCGGAAGACAACCCGATACTATGTCCACCCTAATCGTCACGGCGTTCATCGTGGCTGCCGCCCTCATCACGCTAGTGACGTCCTGCGACTTCCCCAAAGCCCTGCTCATCAAGAACGACGAGGACCCCTGGTACACCCACGTCAGGGCCAACGGTTCTCGCGGCGTGGAGTACTATATACGCCACAACGTGATCGAAATCCTGTACCCGGGGTCCAACAAGACCCCCGTGCGATGGAAGTGCTCCACGTCGTTTCACGAGAAGCACTTACTGAAACGCGAGGACCATTTGATCAACTCTTACTATGTCTGCGCGAAATTTCTCGTCCGCAGCAGGTCCATCGTCCAGGTCATGTGGTCGCGCGAGGTCAAAGTGTTTGACCTTTCTCTGTGTGAAGATAAGAACCTCATCCTCGACCCCTGGCCTCTCGTCCGGTACACGACGCTGTACACAGACTACAAGCCGTGTCCATTCAGCGGCGGATACGATATGAAGGTAGAAGATTCTCGGCTCGGCGAGAACGGCTGCAACAGGATGCTGAGGCCGATGAGGATGGAGGCTGAGTGTCTCGGGGGCGAGGGAGTGAGTTTCGACTTCATCTCCAGCAACTGTCTGCCGGACATCAAGATGTACGTCAAGCAGAAGACCATGTGCGTCACACACTGGCGAGACCAGGTCAACTTCTACGTCATCCTGCGCCGAAACGAAGACGACGACCTCTGGTGCATGGTGATGCCTGTGCGCCGACACGCCAGGACGACGGCGTACCTGTTCGCCGACCTCTCGTGCAGGACCGACGCCGGGAAAACGCTGAACGATCTGAAATACTTCACCTTGCATCTCCACACCAGAGTCTACCGCTCGCTGTGCGAGGATGAATACGACAAGTGCAGCGAGCTCGAGTGCAACTCGTTCCTAAAACACGAATGTCAGAAATCGTGTAAGGTCTGCGACCCGGACTCACCCCCTCCCAGTTGTGAGTACCCCGAGAACATAGATGGGACCTGGTTTTTGAAAACGCCTCCTGATCGCGTCACGAACATTGAGATAACGCGTTCAAACTTATCCATCGAGAACGTGGGGAACTTCCTGTGCGTCATGTTTCCGGACAGCCCCAAGTCCAAAACGTCCAACATCTACACGGCTATCTCACTTTACGACAACGGCTGCAGGCCGAGATACACCTGCGTCAAGATACGGCGTTTCGGACAGTCCGTCATTCGATACACGCTCAGCCAGAGCCACGCCTGGCCGAGTCTGGCGAGCGACATCGGCGAAATGGTTTGCAACGAGGATCGCTTCCACGCGGATCCGCTTCCCATCGACGACATGTATCGATCCTACGAAGGGGCGGGCAAGCCCATCGTTGCACACCACCCGCGCCCCGAGCCCATCAACTGCAACGTGACGTCCATCCATACCATCAGCGCCACCCTCCCCGAGGGCTACGTGTGCCTGGGCAGCCTGTACCACCACTGCGAGGACGCCACCAAGCTGCGCATGGAGTTCGGCAGCTGCGGTAACCTCATCCCAGCGTCCACGGACTACAGATGCTTGGCCGACTTCGAGGGCCACTACTGGGAGCGGATCCTCCTGGTGCAGAACGTCAACGACGAGACGGACGCCATCTGCTTCGTCTTCAGCAAGATCTACCCGACAGAGGCGTACGTCTTCACGGCCAGCCAGTGCGATCAAAAAAGTTTCAGCTTCGCCAGGGGTGGCATTCGCAAACCCTTGCTGAAGCTTGAGTTCCGCAAAGAGCCGGAGCCTTGCAAGTCTATTCCGGTGATAAGGAAGTCAACCCCTAAACCAAATGAGGATTCATACAACTCGGACAGTTCGCTCAGGGATGACAGCAGTGGTCATTCGGTGCAGGGTAATGTGACAGGGGCGGGGAAGCCATTAAGTTCGTCCTCGGCGGTTGTCACGGGGTCGCCCCTGGGGAAAAGTGAATCGGTGAAGGGGGAGTACAATGACGAGCCGGGCGCCCCCAGCGCCAGGTCGACGTCAGTCCACGGTGACAGTTATGGCGCAGTTAAAGATGACAACGGCGCACAAGGGCTCAGGCGTAGCCTCGTCTGTGTCGCCTTAGTCGTCGTACTGTGTTGTTGTCTTTTAGACGTGTTGAGTGTGTAAACCGTGTTCCCGCTTTGACTATAGTTTCTATTGACCAGATTTTTTCAAGATGGAGCAGCCAAACTTTTTCAAAGGAAGATTGGTTTTTTGGGGGGGAAATCCTCACTTTCAGACGTAGCGTTAAGAATCTAAATATAGTTTTGACATATTCTTAACTGAAATAATTAGTACGTACACCTTAAAACAAGACTCCTTACTCCACGAAGATGTCAGTTGCGGGGGAGTAGATGTTATCACAACGACGTCAGTGGGCCACTTGAAATGGACGATGGCTAAAAGCATCACTATCAGTGACGTGTGTGCGGTGGTGCGGACAGTGTGGGTCTTTATGTGGAAGATTCGAATCTTCTACGTGAATAAAATTTTAAAAGTCTTGGGTTCTTTTCTAGGAACTGAAATAATTATATACCTTCTAATAATTAGATCGAAATGGTTCCCCCTACCAACTAGAAGACCCACGTTATGTCGTTGACAAAAGGCTACGCCTCTGGCATGTTAAAAGGGGGGGGGGAGGTAAAAAACCGTTGATTCCTTGAATTCCGCCCCGTAACTGTGATACCCCCCCCCATCCCCATCCCACCCACTTAACGCATGCGCCACTCTGAACAAGATAATCTCGCCCAAGGTCATTCAGCAGTCTGCGACTGGCACAGGCCATTAAACTATCTGTCCTCAACGTCTGCCCGTAACCACGACCACCAGCAGACGATACCGGTGTCTGAAAACAGTTGTTATAACACTGACAGACGGTGACTTGAATAGGATCCCATGGCAGTTCAGCAAGTGACGCAGTCCCCAAAGTGTTTACATTAATGTATTGCATTTATCATTTGTTTTGAAGCGTCGACCACATTTCATTCTAGGAGCAGAAACGCATATCGATGTTTTGATAAACACAGGGTGTTTTAATTGCTTTTCAAAGCGTTTGACACTGACCAGATGAATGTTTTAAAACATAGATAGTGGCAAAGGGTACAAGTGGAAATTAAATTCATCACTTCTCGTCACCAAGGAACAGCTTAGTTATCACAAAGAACAGATTGGTTATCACAAGGAACTGCTTAGTTATCACAAGGAACAGCTTAGTTATCACAAGGAACAGCTCAGTTATGCAATACCGTGCTACAGTGACAAAACAGCTTTAAAAAAATGGCAAGAACAATATGCAGCTTTATTATATATATATATATAATTGACAGTGTTGCATGTATTCTGATGCATTCATCAAAAAAACATGTCATTAAGACAATTTAACTGTCAGAAACCCTCGGGGAATGACAAAATAACACACTTGAATGGCGTTAGGAAAAGCAAAGGCACAAACTTCACATGTCGTGGGTTTGGTTTGGACAGTCGTGAGCTTCACGGCAGTGTGAACCATGTGTGACCATATACTTGAATAAACAGCAAAGCTTCTGTTAGGACCTGGTCCACTTAGCAATGTCAGTGGACAGGTTCATGATGTTACCTCCCCCCCCACCCCCACAGTCCAGTCTCTACTATTGTTGTGTGGCAAGAGGGGGGGGGGAGAGGGGGCGGGGGTATTTTTCTCACATCAAAACAACTGGCATGAGAGGTTCATCGATTCGTCAGTGAGTTACTCCTACTTCTACTCCGACCCCTACTCCTAAACTGATTTGATCCAAATCTCTATACGACACACACGCGAATCCAGCAGTTCAACAATCTTCTCGGTGGAACTATGAAGCTCATGTACTGAAAAAGTAGCAGTCAAGATGAAAAAAAAAACAAAACGAAAAAACTCTCAAGCTCTGCAGTTAATGTTAGACTGGAAATCTTATGACAGAAAATGTGGGGGAACAATGTGGATGGCTGACATGATTTGTGGACCACTTCGTGTTTAAACTGTAGTATGACTGTGTGTATTTCAGATCACATCTTACGTGATGGCAAAGAGTTAAAATGGCCGTGTGGATAGATTGACGATTAAATTTATGTATTTCATTGTCACAAATGTTGTTTCTGTGTATTTCAGCTTTTAATATCAGGCATTTATCGGCTGTGTCATAAACTCAATGACGAGTTGCAGAAAAGAAAAATCGAAGCAGTGGTAATCAAAATTAATATTGACTTTAAAAAGGAAGGCATTTTCTTATTCATAGAATCATATTCATCCAACGAACAAAACAATACAAAAAGGGGGACTGGGGTGCCATATCGAATGCCACCACGCCTTTTGGCTGGGTGGGGTTTGTAAGTTGGTGCATATTTTTTTTTTAACCAACCTGGCTTATGCAAAATAACTATTTTTTAATTGAACAGAAACAATTTCTATAAATTTTTTCACAAAAAAAAAAAAATTAATAAAAACAATAATAAATATATGTAAACAAATTTTTTTACTGGCCATATAGGGATTTCTTGATGGTATTTTTCATGTTTATTCACAGCTGTTCGTCCTTCCCATGGTTAGGTTTTGGTAATGCTATTTCATATATTCGCTTATTATTAGATTTAATTACTGTCCAAATTTAGTAGCAATAACTCCCTGCTATCACAAGTAGTTTTTTTTCCCCTGTTCACATCATTATATAATTTTAACTACAAAAAATTGTGTCTATGGCGTACATCTGCATAGAAGGCTCTTCACCGAAATATCTTAAAAAACTGATTTATAAACATTTATCCTTAAAGAACAGATTTATAAACATGTATCCTTAAAGAACTGATTTATAAACATGTATTCTTAAAGAACCTGCGGTCTTCTACCCAGTCCTTACTAAAATTTCCCAGCGTGGATGAACACAGAAAAAATTCTCACGGAGTGCGCTCTTTTGAAGCAATAGCGCCAAAATTATGGAACAGTTTGCCTCAATCTTTTAGGGGAATTGAAAATGATAAAAATAATTTAAGAAACATAAAAAACTTTTTTACTAAAATAGATTTAAGAAAACCAGAGTGAAGTGAGCATGCTAAATTAGCATGGATACCAGCGCTATATAAATATCCAATCAATCAATCCATCTGGGAAATGTTAAATTCTTGTCCAGGCGGCTAGATTTCAATTCATGCCGACAAAATGAAACGAAAGCCGGCACATAATTTTAGTCGGAATATCCCCCCCCCCTCTCCCCCTCAAATGGTCTTTGCCATTGTTATCTTCTCTTGGGGCCGAGCTAATCGCCCTTTATCGGCCCGGCGGCCCTCATCCTACTCTCGCACTGTCACCAGTGTAGGGCACTCAGCAAATAATAGCAAGTCGTTTCGGACACCTGTGAAACAGTGGCGGCAGGTTGGGTCTTAGTCAACAGTGGCGGCAGGTTGGGTTTAGTCAACAGTGGCGGCAGGTTGGGTCTTAGTCAACAGTGACGGCAGTTTAAGTTTTAGTCAACAGTTGTGGCAGGCTTGTTTAAGGCAACAGTGAAGGCAGGTTAAGTTTTAGTCAACAGTGACGGCAGGTTGGGTTAAGGCAACAGTAGCGGCAGGTTGGGTTAAGGCAACAGTGAAGGCAGGTTAAGTTTTAGTCAACATTGACGGCAGGTTGGGTTAAGGCAACAGTAGCAGCAGGTTGGATTAAGGCAACAGTGAAGGTAGGTTAAGTTTTAGTCAACAGTGACGGCAGGTTGGGTTAAGGCAACAGAGATGGCAGGTTTGGTTAAGGCAACAGTAGCGGTAGGTTGGGTCAAATCAACAGTGACGGCAGGTTGGGTCAAGGCATCAGTGGTGGCAGGTTGGGCTTTAGTCAACAGTGACGACAGGTTGGGTCTTAGTCAACAGTGACGACAGGTTGGGTCTTAGTCAACAGTGACGGCAGGTTGGGTCAAGGCATCAGTGGTGGCAGGTAGGGCTTTAGTCAACAGTGACGACAGGTTGGGACAAGGCATCAGTGGTGGCAGGTGGGGCTTTGGTCAACAGTGACGACAGGTTGGTTCTTAGTCAACAGTGACGGTAGGGTGAGTGTTAGTCAACAGTGACGGCAGGTTGGGTCAAGGCATCAGTGGTGGCAGGTAGGGCTTTAGTCAACAGTGACGACAGGTTGGGTCAAGGCATCAGTGGTGGCAGGTTGGGCTTTGGTCAACAGTGACGACAGGTTGGGTCTTAGTCAACAGTGACGGCAGGTTGGGTCAGTCAACAGTGACGACATGTTGGGTCAAGTCAACAGTGACGACAGGTTTGGTCAAGTCAACAGTATCGGCAGGTTGGGTCAACTCAAAAGTGACAACAGTTTGGGTCTTAGTCAACAGTGACGACAGGTTGGGTCTTTATGTTACGTATTGAATATCTATGTCTGCATCTAAATCAGTATCTATATCGGCATCTATATCAGTATCTATGTCTTATATCATCATCTTGATCCATTAACTATTTTGGCATCAAACCCTGCGGCCATCTTTGATCAAAAGACGCATAATCAACATAATCTCTCAAATGAAACTAAAACCTGGCCACTCGTCATGCTAATTTCCCAGAAGTCTTTTCCGGAATTCAATCATTTCACAAGGCAAAGACCCACTATCATTGAATTCAATCATGTCACTCGGCAAAGAACCACTACTATTGAATTAAATCATCTCCTTCTATTCCGACAGCGCCCCCCCCCTTTTTTTTCCCGACATTATCAGATTATCAAATGATAATACACCTCTTTCTGAGACCCAATCTCATAAAATCCCCCGCCCCTTCTC